GTCGTCGCCCCCGGGCCTACGAACAGCTGGAGAGCCAGCAGCCGGCGCTAAGGTTGCTGAGGGGGAGAGGCTTCCCCTCGCTTTAGCCTATTCCAGGCCTCGCTTCCTGTGACATCACGTCTCCTAGCAACCCCCGGGGAGGGGGCGGAGCCGGAAGTAGGGAAGCCGGGCGCCCCACATACAGGCCTTGGAGGAAAGCCTTTCGGCGGCTGGCGCTCCCCGAGGCGCTGACTTGTGTTTTCACAGGTTAAGGGACAAGGACGTCGCGCATGTACCTGGAACTTCCCAAGTATAAATCTTCCCTGAAACAGCTGCCGTCTTACCCTCCCCCAGATATTGAAAACTAAAAGCATATATGAAAACCGATTTATTGATTATGGCCTCTGTTCCATACATTGCATTTTCCATCAGCAAAGCGACAGGAGAAATTGAACCCATGGCCTTAAAGGGACAAATCTAGGAAGTAGTCTCAAGTATCCTTTATGAGAGGGTGAAACAAATAGAATTTGGACCAAGACAAAAAAGTATACCTCTAATTATGCATTAAGATTTATAGGTATAATACCATAAAATAGGCAGCCGGGCAGAATTAATAATGGTGACTCAATCATAGTCTTAGGGGAAGTGTGGTTTATCCACCTTAGCCCACTTCCTTTCTCTACTGACGTCTATTTTTAAAGAAACAGGCTCGAAAACCCTCTTTCCCACCAATGTCTTACCTCCTAGTGTTGCATAGTTTCTGTACAGTATTTTTTAAGGTTTTCTCTGCCGCCGCTATTGCTTCTCTTGGGTGAACCTTATTTTCTTCCTAGCTTTCTCACATTTCTCCTCCCAGACTCTCTACTCTTGATGAGGGAGTAGAAAGGAACAAAAAAATGCTTGTAGAACTCATGGTACTTGCCCAGTTTTGAAAATTTGACATTATGGTTTTCCCATTTGGATCTGGCCAGTTAAATTAAACTCAGTAGGGGAGTGATAAAGCTACTTGAGCTCTCATAGTAAGGATATATTATGTTTGATAAAAGTTAGCAAAACAGTATCTAGAAGTAAATCTTACTGAAGGAATCCTATTATTGCAGGGTTAGAAAAAATTTTTTTAAGTAGCCATAAGTGAATGCAAGTATATCTTGGTTAAAAATATATATATTCTTGACTTAATCACATTTTAAGTTCATCATGAGGCTTACCTTTCAAAGGCACAAGAGCAGGGTGCCTTAGCAGACTAAGGGTTGCTATAACAAAAGACTGTAGCCTGGGTGGCTTAAACAACAATCATTTACTTCTCACAGTTCTGGAGTCTGGGAAGTCTGAAATAAGTACCAGCATGGTCAAGCCCTGGTGAGAGTCATCTTCCAGGTTGCAGATGACCTTCTTGCTGTATCCTCACATGGTGGGAGTGTGGGTGAGGGGGAGAGAGATCTTGTTTCTGTTATAAGGGTACTAATCCCACAGTGGGAGCTCCACTGGCATGACCTCATCTAAACCTAATTATCTTCCGAAGGCCCCATCTCCAAACACTATCACATTGGGGATTAAGGCTTCAACATATGAATTTAGGGGGAGAGATGCACACATTCAGTCCAAAGCAAGAGGTTATCAGCTTTTTTGTCTATCCCCAGTGCCAAGTACAATATTTAGCACACACTAGGTTTCAATTAGCTTAGTGTGAGTAACTCCCACTCCAGTTTTCTTTAGCTTGCTTTTTGTATATCAGTTTTCTTAAAGTGAAAGGCATCTTTATCAAGTCTCTAAATTAGCCTACTCTTTATGAGTAAAGCATCCAAATAAGATGAAATTAATAAGCATTATTTTTACATAATACCCCAACATTCATCTTTTCTATTAATATGATCATTGGATTAAATGTAATATAACATTCAAAATTGGTACCATATTGCCACAAGTCTGGGATTCTTGCCTGATCTTTTAGCAGACAGTCTATTGTTTCCCTCTTGAGCTCTATGCTTGGGTTGTCCAAGAACCCCAGGCGCTTACTCCATCAAGTGAATTGATTCTCTTTTCTGGTCCAAGCTGAAACAGAACTGGATTCTATTCAGTACAACACTGCTATTGCTTTTCACTGCCATAAGGTATTGCTCATCAAGCTTCATCTTGCTGAGTTCCAATGACACTTATCTACTCTGAAATTATGTTCTTGCTTGTTCTGGTCCCTGCCTCTGCAAAGATCCCAGTGATATTTGCATGTAGACTTTTAGTTTGGCATCTTCACATGTTCAGTCATTGTCCCCCAAAGGACAATGCAATTGAATAAATCTTTTGCTGAAGTCTGGGCTAAATGGGCTGACATTCGCTGGCTGTTTTCTTCTCTGATTCAGGGCATGCACTGTTCAAGCTTGGTCTGGGCAGAGAGACTTTACACAGGAAAAGAGAAACCAGTGGAACATTTAACAGACATGTGAGTTGTATAATGGATTGGAAATGTAGAGGAGCCCCAAACATACAGCCAGCTTTCCAAACACCAGACATTTGCTGAATTCTGGAGTGGTAGAAGAGACTGAAGGACTGGGACTGATAGAAAGAATAAAATCTCCCTATGTTCTACCACTGCATACGAAACAAACTCTATGTAGGAGGAGTCATCCTTCTTGCAGTCAACCCCCTCAAGACATTTGCAATATTTTTGAAGTTGTCGGATTAAGAGGCTGAAGATCTGCGTTTAAAACCTCTCAAAGTCAGAACTGAATCTCCAGGGCTGAGGAGATAGAAACCATTCTGACTCTCTATCAAAAACCCAGAGGAATCACAACCAAGGAACAAACAGAGATGAGAAGTGCACTGAAACTGCAGCCCAATCCCAATCCAGCTCAGTCTCTGACCCTCCCCTTACTTTCTGTCTTTATCTCTAGAGGAAAATAATAGCAGCTGTATTCTCTGTAAGTTTTAACTTAAAAGTCTGGCATGTGATAAAAAAAAAATATGAGGTGGGAAAACAGGAAAAATTGATTAATAATCAAGAAAAAATAGATAATAGAAGACCCATAAATAAGCCAGATATGGGAGCCCAGATGATAGCTTTCAGATGACTGTTATAAAATAGGGTGATGGATAACTAAATAGAAGAAAAAGTTGACAAATAGATTAAAAGTTTTTACAGAGAATTGAATCCATAAATAAGAATCCATGAAAAAATGGATATCTGAAATCAAGAACTTATGGTTTAATAGCAGACTGGACACAGTATAACAGAGGATTAATGAATTTGAGCATAGGACAAGAAAAATACACAAACTGAAGCACAGAGAGAAAAAAGAATGGAGAAACAGAGCTTAAAAGGCATGTGGGACACAGTGAGTAAATTTAGCATAGTTGTAACTAGAGTCCTAGAAAAAGAGAGAGAGAATGAGGCAGAAACAATATTTGAAGATATAATAGTCAATAATTTTACAAAACTAAAAAAAGATATAAAACGACAGCTAAAAAAAATTAACTCAAAATAGATCATAGACTTAAATGTAAGCTCTATAACTATAAAACTCTTATAAGAAAAATTGGGGTAAATTTTAGTGACCTAGAATTAGCCATTGGTTCCTGAGATACGATACCATATGCATGTGACGAAGGAAAAAAATAGATAATCTGAACTACATAGAGATTTGAAATTTTTGTGTCACAACATACCATGTATCTTCAGGTCACATATTATTAAATCTCAGCTGTGATTGCTCACTTCACCAGAAATTTATCCAATCGCTTGTTCAAGGTGATGAGAGAGAATGTTGTCCTTACAAAATAATGACTGGTTCTAAAAGTCAGTTTAATGTTTTTGTTCCAACTCCATAAAACATTATTCATGATTTTTCTGTTAAATTTGGCATAAATTTACATAATATATACCTAATTAAAAGTGACCCAATTAAACAAAAGGAAGAGAAAATATTCACATTCAGTGACAGTCATTAAGGACTCATTGGTCATTGTCTTACCTGAGGAAACTGTATTTTTAGAGACTGATGTTTTCTGCTCTACATAGACTTTAATTTGTCAAATAGAATTCATGTTAAAATGTCTTTCTTCTAACCCTGACCAGTATGCTCAGTGGTTAGAGTGTCAGCCAGAGGGTTTCAGGTTTGATTTCTGGTCAAGAGCATGCACCTGTGTTGCAGGTTCAATCCCTGCCCCGGCCAGACACGTGAGGGAGGCAACCAGTGGATGCGTCTCTCACATCGATGTTTTTCTCTCTGTCTCCCCCGTTCCCTCCCTCCTTTCCACTCTCTCTAAAACATCAATGGAAAAAATATCCACAGGTGAGGGTTAACAAACAAAAAAATGCATTTCTTCTAACAGCTGCCACAATTCCCAAAGTTATCATTAATATTTCAACAGTTTCTAGTAACTCACTTGAATCGCTTATTAAAATTTGAAAATTAGTTCCTCTCCTTTAACCAACTAAAGAAGACATTATCTTGTACTGACTCCTCAATTCAGCTCAAGCACAGCAATCATTGCATTTTCCTCATATACAAAGCCCCCAATTAGTCTGCAAAGGAAATTTTTAACAGACCCCTACATCATCTATTCTTTCAGCCTGGACAGGCTGGTTTAGGCATTCTGCCGTGGACTCCTAATATTGTTTGTGATGCCAAATTGGAACACAAAAGAAAACAGCACGAAGTTGCTATTTACCTCATCTACAGGCCATAGCTAAGGCATTAGTTTATGCATAGAAATTCCATGCCTCATGAATGTCTGCTATTAAATTTCTTAAAAGGAGGCAGCCTTTTAAGGTAATGCTGAATTAGCGGTATGGCCAACATGAAAGCAGAGATAG